CAAAATCTGAATATGAACTTGAGTGTGTATCTAAATCTATTTCTATTTTGAAGTCTGAATATGTTCTGATTTAATTACTGGATCCTAACTTGTGCTGGACATCATTTATAAAACCCCTTTACTCTGTTATTATTCACTGGGCTTCCACTCACAGTTTATATTATGTATGTAGGCGAGCCGACGGGTGATCAGGACCAGAGTTGACGGCCTTCTGTTCTGTTTTTGTCAGCCAACCATTGTGCCTCCCGAGGAGGTTCCGATTGAAGTCTCGTTATATGGTTGTTTTTGTATTCATGCTAGTCTCGGTGACTGTCTTGTAAAGTCAGGTGTTGAGATGTGTGCTTCTGTAAATACTTGGTAAATTGTGGTGTCCTTTCACTGGCATGTTTATGTATATGTAAATAAGTTTTTGAAATGTTCTGTCCCATGTACGTTGTCACAGCTCATTGGACCATGTCTATTTTGTATTATTGCTTCCGCAGCCCCTTATTATTTGCTAATATGTTAGGATGGCCTTTGGTAATCCACGAATTACTGGCCGATTACGGTGCTAAACCTATAGGGGCGGGTTTGGGTCGTGACAAAAAGATATTACATGCATTACATTTTCATAAACGTTTATCTTGAAACTATAGCATGTAACTTTAACTTCTAACAACAAAATATAAGTGCCCTACGGGCTTACAGCTTTCCAAGTTATCACTTGGTTACAACAAAAGAAGAGTCCTAACTCTTTTACAAATAATGCCCTCGACTTGAGTTTGCATTTAAATACAAAAATAACAACAAAACAGCAAAATGAGGTCTCCAACCCCTAAACTTGCCAAGCTATGTCCTTGGAGGCGGCATGTCACCTGTACCTAAAAATGGTTTCCCAAGTAGGGTGAGCCAAAGCCCAGTGGAGATATGCTAAACCATATATGAGAATTAACTAAAATATGAGCATTAGATAAATGTGCAACATTCTCAACCAGTACATATTTCTTTCAAGTCAATCAATATAGATAGCCAATATCTCATTTCATTCTCATTCTCCCATGTTGGGTAAATCAATTAATCAATTTCATAGTTATCAAAACAACCAATATGAGACTACTACTCAATGGTTCGAAATTCAACACATTTATCAATTTAACACTTCTATTCCATGCCATTTTACGGAACCACGTCCGAGGGAACCGGCACCCATAAATATATAAGATTTCGAGACTTTCACCCTGGACATTCCGGCCAACTTAATTATCAATGGAGTCCATCCCCTATCTCCTCCCAAACAATGGAGTACATCCCCTATCTCCTCTCAAACAATGATACATATGCAATGTATTTAAACATGTTATCATATACAATGACTAATCAACTTACGTATTCAACAATTTAACCAACCCGTCATATTCAATGACAAAATTCATATGACTAGTTTCAATTTACCTAGTCCGCATGCAGTTTCTACAACAATCACGACTATCCTCCACTGATAGCCCAAAACAGATATTTTTAAACAGATAATTAAATCTATCAACAGATGATTTATCAACTTTGTCATAGGTGTGCGATTTGTCAAACCAAACTACACCATTCAATCACATTTTCCCCCAATTTCATAATAACCAAACCAATTTCATTATTTACACAAATAATTGATTCAACTCAACTTAGGGCAATTTTTTCCTTATTCCAAAACATCAACCCATAGGTCCAAATCTCACCATTTTAACGATAAAGCACCTGATATACAAACCCCTAAGGTTATTTTCCAAATCAACAAGAAAACCCCTCTTTAGTTTAGAGCCCAAACCTTAACATTACCCAAATCACTCCCAAATCCCACCATTTATACAAAATGACAAATATCTAGGTTAAAACTCATATTAAAGAGTAGAATATCCCTACCTCAAATGGAGAAGCTCAAAAAGAAAGAATGAGAAACTTGAAGATGCTTCAAACTTGAACTTTTTCATATCAAAAGGAAGCCCACGCGATACTCTATCCTTTTTACAAAGGAAGTAGGGTAGAAAGACTCTAGATCAAGGAGTATTTGTATAGAGAGAGAGAGAGAAAAAAAAAAAAAAGAGAGAGAGTTTTAGAGAGAGATGGAGCTGTGCTACGGTTTTGAGTGAAAAGGGGGCCAAAAAGTGATATAAAATATCACTGCTGCGAACTGATATAAGTGAGGCTCGCTCAAGCGAAGGAGTTGTCGCTTGAGCGACCAGACACAATAAGTGGCCTCGCTTGAGTGCAAGAAGCGTCGCTTGAGCGCACAATGCAAAGCTTCAGGTCTGCCACAAACGCAGACGCACGCTCGAGCGCAAGAGTTCTCACTCGAGCGAAGAAACAATTCCACAAGGCTCGCTCGAGCGACAAAAGCTGCGTCTGAGAAAGAAACCTGAAGACCCTCAATCTACGCTCGAGCGCAAGATCCCTCGCTCGAGCGAAGAAGCAAATACCCAAGTCTCGCTCGAGAGCAAAAAGTCTCACTCGAGCGAATAAGCCAAAACCTGGGCAGCAACCATACATACCAACTCACCACCAACCTATTCCAAACTCGCCAACACGTCCCAAAACTCAAATTCAACAAACTAAAGGGGAAAGCAACACATGGACAACAACATACAACCACGGAACCCGAGTCCGGAACACAATAAAGGTCGGGGTAAAACCTGGATCGCTATAGTTATCATAATGGTAACCCCTACTTAGATGATTAAAGATCCCAAGAACTAAGTTCAAAGGTACAACTAAGTTATGTGTGGCTCGCCAAAAATCACTAAAGGAGTCTAACTCCTATCTATTCCTATGATGAAAGTGATATCTACAACACGTGTTGTATGTAGGGAACTTAGGGTAAGCTATGCTTTTAATGATCACTAATATCTCGAAAACCTTAGATGGATATCTTTCAAAAGGAGTACTTAAGAAACTCAAAATAAGGATCACCTATATGAGTGTGAAGGGGCCGCTTCTATGAGAATTGATAAGGAAAAATTCTCTAAAGCACTCATGAAATACCAAGAGATGCCCAAGGCCAAAACGAGCACAACCGTGAGAACTAAACTGTGTCTAGAGATATTCTGTGTGAATTCTATTTTCTTAGCATAAACAAACAATTGAACAGTTCAAGGTATCACATCTACTGATTAACTAGTAAGTCCGATAGACTTTCACTAGGGAAGGTTCAAAGCCAATCATCTATTGATAAAATATCTATTGATAAATGCATCTATTGATATCTGTACAACCGTGAGTTTACCCTACTTAGACTTACTAGTTAATTATAAATGCATCTATTGATATTTGTTTAAAATATGAATTATCTCTTGTGATTTTGGAGATTACAAATATCCATTTGTCAAAAAAAAATTATTTTACAAAATGAGCAGAAAAAAATTAAATTTGTAACTACTCTCATATACAACAATAAAATTACAAAAAATTGTTAATTGAAATGTAATTTTGACATTATTAAAAATTGTTAGCTGACTTAATAATTTATTAAATGGGTCGTTTGTTATGAGATTATAAATTTGAATGGACGAAATATAATTTCTAAAACTATAGGAAACAATTCGTATTTTAAGTAAATTTTAAGAAATTTATTTGTAATTTACCCTAAAATTTGTTTTGAAGTATGTTGTGACATTTACAATATAGAAAAATAATTTTAGCTATATCATACCATGAAAGTGTAACTTAAATTAATATTAATATGAGTAAAAATTTAATTTAATTTATTTATATGTATCTCTATATAAAATTGTTATATTAAAATTTTTTTTTGACAAACTTCACTTTATCCTCCTGTGGTTTGGGCCGGGTGCGAACCCTGACATTTGGAAATCACTACATAATCCCCATGTGGTTTGTGGACTAAAACGCACTGTCCACTTTTCCATCCAAGTTAACTGACTGTGTAGTTCAAACGCCCATAAAGAGAGTAAGCTAAATTTTAAGACCAAAATACCTCTTGGAAGAGATAAAGAGTCTTTTAAGATTTAAAAAAAAAAGTATATATATTCACATTCTGAGTTATTACATAGTCAATTTCAATTAATGGATAAGCAAATTGTGCCACTATAATTTGATGCCCAATGACAATTTTTTTTTTTTTTAAGGAATAGTGATGGACCTTAGCTACTGTGAATGATTTTAGGAATTTAGTATTTAGATTTTAAATTGATTTGTAGAATATTGAATGGTTGGATAATATATATGCATTTATTGTTGATAAGTGGTGAGAATGAGTGACTGGTTTTTTGGTGTGGAGATGTGTGTGCTGCCTAGATTTCTTGTACAAGTTGGAATGAAATTTGTTAAGAGTTGGTAACATGGAAGGAAGAAGAAAGAAAATAGGTGTGTGTGTGTGTGTATGTATATATATATGTGTGTGTGTGTGTGTGTATTTATATTTACAGGTTTAATTTAAAAGAGAGAAAATGAAGAAGACAGGGGCACACTACAAGAAAAAGAGGATATCACCACGTTTTTTTTTCTGACGTTTTTGAAAAACGTCGTGAAATCTCCTATACTTTTTCCCATTTTGAACAAATTTAATTACCCATCTCGTTTTGTACGCCAATATTAAAAAAAATTGTGAAATAACATTTACGTGTGATTGAAGAGGCAGGACTTCTCTGATCAAAAGAGAGGCGTGACTTTAGAGAACACAGCGTTACTTTTGAGAGAGAGAGAGAGAGAGAGAGAGAGAGGCAGAGAGAGAAATCAAGGCCTTGGATCTTTGATCTCCATTGATTCTTTGGTTGTATAATCTGGAAATGCTTGTTCTACACTTGATTTGAGCGTTTGTCTGTAATATCGTTTGAATCCCTCTTATCTAAGTCGATCTAGGGCTCAAGGTTAGAGTTTTTTGATATGGATTTGCTATATTCACACAAGATCTGTAGACTTTCATGGCTTAAACTAACGATTTATAGTTGATTTCTAATTTCTCTTCTTCTATTTTGTATTTTCTCTTTTCAAATCGATTTTTCTAGGGTTTTGAGTGCCATGTTAATGTCTCTGATCACGTGCAGAATAGCAAGTAGCGTTGGATCTGGATCGTTACCAACAGTGAGTCGAAGCAAGCTCAACGACGTAGAGATGTAGATCTTATTCTCAGATCTGCTCTCTCTGTCTCTCCGATCTGCTATTATGGTAATATCAAATCTACTTTCTCAATCTCTCCGATCGAATTTCACATATTCTCTTCATTGCTCTATGAGATTTGGACCTCTGTCTCTTTGTTTTTGATTGAAGCTCATTATCTTTGTCACTCTATTACATTTTCCTTATAGAAAATGTCAAAACAGTATAGAAATAGAACGATTGGTGAGTGAGTTTGAAACTTCTTTATCTATTTGAACACTCTAGTATTTCATCACTTTTCAATATTTACTTTAACTTGTTATGTTTTAATAATTTTCAATTAATTTTTAAAACGTAAAGAAATAGAACGATTACATTGAATTTATATTAAAATTTAAAATTTTAAGTGTTATAATTAAAAGTTAAAGGATCAAAATTTGATGGTGAAATTTGTAATTTACTCAGGAAAAAAAGAAATTGGACCAAAGTATATATAAAAAAAAAAAAAAAAGGAAACAAAGGAGAAGCCTGGAAACTCAAAATGAGGTATAGTTCCTTATCCTTCGCCTAGATCTATTTCTATGATATGAAAATAACATGATTAAAATAGGTTTAGAAAGGGTATTTGATAACAATTAAGATTGAATTACATGTTTATGTATAATTCACTCTTTTTGGTTGGGAGAAATCTGAAAGCACACCGGCTTTCCTCGAACCAAAGCCTCTATAATCAAGCAAAATCATCTTATCACAAGTAGATGGTGCCACCCAATCAATATCCACCAAATGAAATAGTTAATTTCTTATCAGTTTATGGCTCAAATTTATTAACTTGACTTGATAGTTTAAAAAGGAGTCACCAATTTAACGGTTAAAACTCAGCAATCAACCTTGGGATTGTGGGTTCAAATCTGAGAAAAGACACTTTGTGCAAATAATGCCAAAAGTTAGAACTGTACCCAATCTATCCCTCCTAGACTGTGGCCAAGGTCCCTCCCCATATTTTCATTCCAACCAAACAACATTTTTGACTCGGGCATTGTAATTAACACTTGGTATTTCATTTTTAAGGGGACTTTGGGTGATTACAAAGTTGTCTTTGATGCTGTTTACATGCCTAGAAAAGCCACCCTGTTAAAAGAAGCTGAGGCTGCTGGAGCCATCATTGTCAGTGGAGTTGAAATGTTCCTCCGTCAAGCCATTGAACGGTTCAATCTCTTCACTGGTGGGAAAGGTACCTTCAATTTCTTTCCCTTTTAGATATTATTTTTTCCCTTTAAATAGGAATTAAGGATTAATATTAAGTGGTTTTTTCCCTTTTAAATATTATTTTTTTAATATAAAATTGTAACTCTTTTATTGTGTAATATTGTTCCGTACATTAGGTACTATGTAACAACAGTGTTATTCTTTTTTGTAATCTAGGTCATTTAATAAATAAATAAATAAAAAAACTTGATCTGGGTATGGAAGGATTGGATTTAGAAGAAGAAGTTATTGTCCGTTTTATATGTGCATATGCATAAATCAAAGAACAGATTTAGGGAAATAGTCATATCAGAATTTTTTTGACAGTTTTCTTTACCTTCTATTATTATATTCAGGTAATCTTCGGATTCAACAGAGTTCTAGAAGGGAGTTGTTGTGTTCTTGCTGCTATAGATTCTGCTCTTGCATGTTTCCATTACATAACTTTGAAGTGTTGGTTATAGATAATTTCTAAGCAAGAACATGATTTGGGTACAATAGGATTGGATGTGAAAGAAGAAATTCTCATTCTTTTTCATTCCTCGATAGCTTTGATAAGTACATATGCATAATTCAAGGGAGAGAAAGAAGGAAATAGTTATATCAAAAGGTTCTGTGGGGAGCAAGCAGTCCTCTAGTTTTGAGGATACTAATTCTGCTAAAGAGAAAGCTAAATCTATCTATCCACCTATAGAAAGCCATTGGAATTTACCTCCTCAAAAGGAGTACAAGAAATTGTCTTTCATTAAACTTAAATTGCAAGTCCATGTTGTCTTACCCACTCTAGATTCGGGATTCACTAAAGAGAATTAGAAAGAGCCAAAGCTTGCTAGCAATTCCCAAAGAAGCTCGTGATCCAAAAGATGATCAAATTGTTCAATCTTTCCGTGAATTGCTTTTGCTCGAGGGCCATCTGCCATGGAAACACAGTGTGATTACCACACACTTTTACGGTATGTTTCTGCTGTGACATTTTTACATACATAAATAATTAGCCTCCTTCTGGGATGAAGTAGTTTCAATGAAATTTGTTAAGCTCTTTATGTAGCATTGTTTGAGTACTGTGTGGTGAAGTGTGAATCGGGCAAAGATGATGTTCTGTTTGGAGTAATTTTACTATTACATATATTTACAGTGGTTTTCTTCCATGATGTCATGTCAGATTTTTTGCGAATGAGGGATTTTGATCTGATGAAAGCAAAAGATATGTTTTTACAATATCTTAAATGGCAAGAAGAACTTGAAGTTGATACAATTGTAAAGGTGAATTTCAGACTATCTACCTGTAGCAATTTGTTGTTGGAACTATTTTGATGCCCATGAGTGGAAGTCTCGATCATATTTGCAGTCCTTAGATAATATAATTGATTTATTTTCAATTTTTTCCCCTGAAAAGGCTGTTGCTTATGAAGAATAGGTACTAATATGCATTCACTCAAATTACTATGGCAGGTCTAGACAGGAAATGTCTTTCTCTTTTTTTTGAGTTGGTGAATTTTGAAACCTGTGTATAATATATGCTTTTGATGCCCGTTTGGAAGCATCATGACGATAAGATAATGACTGTTTCTCTATGAATATTGATGATGCCTAACTGTAAAAACACAAATTATGATGCTTACCTCATTGAACTTAACATATTAGTAAATTTTTTTTTAATAAAAAAAATAATGGTAAAACCTTGCAAAATTGTTAAATTAAATTATTCTAACTACTAAGTTGTATGGTTCCTGCAGTATGCCTCTAATTTAGTACCAAAAGCCAGGAAAGAAAAAACGGAGCATATTAAGAAAGGAAAAGTAAAATTTAAGTTTTACAATCTGCTAAAATTTGTGCTATTAATGTGTCACTATGCTCTAGGATTTGACACTACGTCCTAGGATTTGGGGGTTATTCTAGTTTGAGACAAAAACAAGTCTCCACATCTGGCATACACAACTCTCCATGGCATAGATGTCTCATTATAGATGTTTCAATTTTGAGGATACTAATTGTTTATTGTAGTTTGGTTTATTGTAGGTTGGCTGGTTGTACTGTAGGGAAGACAGTTGAGTGATGTGAGATCCTAAATAGCTGACTGGACTCTAGAAAATAATTTCATCCATGGGTGAAGTTATAGTTAGAAGCCAATAATTTAACTTATAAACTAAAGCTGGGTGCATGGTTATTCTGGTTTGGATTTTCTTCTTGGTTTATTATTATGTTTTATGATTGGCAGAGACCGAGAGGATTGAATGCCATGGGAAGCAGCATGGAGAGCGATTCAAAATGACAATGAAGGATGGATGGGGGCTTTCCTTTGGATTCTTATTTCTCTTCTTTTTTCTTTTTTTCTTTGATCTGATTGGGAAGTTGGGTGTTTTGGTTCACTTCTTATTTTTTGTGTTAAAGGGGGGAGGGAGTGGTGAGAGAGAGAGAGAGAAGAGGGTAATGTTATTTTGTGGCTTTGAATACAAAGTAGTAATTAATTTTTTGGTTGAGAATTGTGAATATAATTTTTGGATATGTTATTTTGGGAGTAATATTAAAATATCATTTGTGGATATGTTATTTTGTGAGTAATGGTGATTGGTGAATGGGATAGTGAATTAATGATGTATTTGTTATTTGAATGTAAGTTATTTTTTTATATTAGTGATATTCAGTTTTATTATATGTATTTTTTTAATTTAATCACATGAATTAGCACAATTTCAAAAAAAAAAAAAAAAGATATATCATTAAAAAACGCCACTTAAACCTTAAATATTAACGGTTAGATTTTTTAAAAAGATATGACGGCGTTTAAAAAATGTCGCTAAATATCATAATGACGTCATGATATTGTCAAGTAAGACATTTGGCGGCGTTTTTAAAAACGCCTCCTATATTAATATAACGACGTTTTTACAACGTCATAAAGTTCTAGCGACGGCCGCGTCCTCGGCGTTTGGTGTAAGTGTCGCAAAAATAATTAGCGGAGTTTTTAACACTTATAGCGGCGTTTTTAAAACGCCGCTAAAAGCTGAATTTCCTGCAGTGGCATAAAGGTAAATTTTCACGTTCTGTTAACAAAAGTTAGTGTGCGTTTTAGTCCACAAACCATATGAGGGTTATGTGATGATTTCCGAACGTTAGGAGGTAATCCACACCCAACCCAAATCACAAGGGGGTAAAATGAATTTTTTTTTTCTTTTTTCAAGTAGATTATAAAATGATAAACAAAAAAATAAACAACACCGGCTTAGGAAAAAAAAATTTCTAAAACCTGCCGTTTAGGCACAGCAGGAAGGACAGCTACGAGGGTCAAACATCAATTAATAATTTTAAATTAATATTACTGCTCATTAATTAGTCAAACATCGTCAACCAATTCTGTCGACTACAAAGGAAAGAAAGTAAATGATCAACCAATTCTACTCACAACAAACAAAGGAAAGAAAGTTAATGAGGAAAAGAAAAGGAAGCGAAATATGGCATGGAGAGGAGATAGGCATGGCATGTTATGACAGTCCCATATCGACTTGTCTGACACCTTATTTTTTTAAAAATAAATTACCAATACATTTTTTAAAGGGTAATTATACTTTACACTCTTATATTTTATATCAAATTTCATTTTGGCTTTATACATATGAAATTATGACAGTCAATTCTCTATATTTCTGGTCAAATCTTACTTTGGTCTCTACATATGAAATTGTGATAGTCAACCCTCTGTATTTTTTGTCAAATCTCACTTTAATCCTTATACAAGTGTCAATGTCCCCTTTCTATAATTCAATTGTTCAAATCTTTAACATAATCTAATCATGTGATAAGAATGCGACTACGACATAAGGGTAAGAAAGGAAAATCATCTACATTTTTCACCAATACACTATCTCAAAATTTATATCAAAATATGACTGTATTAGGTTAAAACAAAATACAGATTTTGAACAATTAAAAAGATGAACTAGGGTTTTGCATAAATTGGAATCACAAAACTCTCTTTTTCACGGTAACACAGTCTTCTATCTATTCATCTTTCTTTTTCTTTGATTTCTTTGTTGCATTTTTTTTTATTTTATTCAAAAGCTCTACTTTCTTGCCTTTTCGTCCTGATTTTTACCGTACAAACATATATATATGTGTTATATTATATAACTCTCACGTACTTATCACGTAGGACAGAGTGTATTGGTGAGAAATATGGATGATTTTCTTTTCTCACCCTTATTTTGTAGTCACATTTTTGTCATGTGACTAAATTTTGTTAAAGATTTAAACATGAAGTAATAGAAGAGGGACATTGACACTTATGTGTAGGGACCAGTAGGATTTGAGTAAAAGTACAGGGGATTGACTATCACAATTTCATGTGTAAGGACCAAAGTGGGATTCAACCAGAAGTGCAGGGGGTTATATAGCGATTCCGGTTTTGACCCGTCACTTGTTGCATTCCGGACTCGGGTTTGTATGGTTTTGTATGGTGATTCATACTTTGTTTCCCTTGTCTCCCCTCTATTTTGGTTATTGGGTTATAATTGTGCGTTTGGAACAGGTTGGTTGATTGTTTTTCCCTCCGCTCAAGCAGCCATTCTTGCGTTCAAGCGGGCTATATAAATTTTGGTCCTCTACTCGAGCAGCCTTTCTTACGCTCGAGCGGGATATGTAAACTCTCAGTACTTTGCACGCCTGCAAAAGTACTGGAGGGGTGTTTTTAACGCTCGAGCAGCGTTTCATATGCTCGAGCGGGTTGGTGCTCGAACAGCCTTTCTTAAGCTCGAGTGGCTTGTCTGTTGTTTGCAAAAGTACTGGATGTGTGTATTCTGTGCTCGAGCGGAACAACTTATTGTGTCTGATGCTTGAGCGTTAACTCTTCCGCTCGAGCGGACTGTACGTATATCAGATCGCAAAAATGACTTTTTACATCACTTTTTCAGATCTATTTACTTCAAAACCCCAAAACCAAGAGCCTCTCTCTCTAAACTTGCCTTCTCTCTACATTTCCATCTAGATCTAGTGATTTCTCCATCCTTCTTCCATTGACAAAAAGGTAGAGCTTCTCAAGATCTTCATTTTGATCCGAACAAACTTGGGTTTCAATATCTTTGGAGTTTTCAACCTTGTTTTACTCGTCTTCTCTTCTTGAGGTAAGGATTTTCTACTCTTTAATATAGTTTTTAACTTAGTTATTTGTCATTGTGTAACAGTGGTGGGATTTGGGGATAGTGAGAGTAAACCTAGGGTTTGGGTGAAAAATAGGAAGAGGGCTTTTCGTGAATAAAAGGAAAAATGATTCTGGGGTTTGAAAATGATATTGTATGGTGTAAAAATTATTGATTTTGGTACTTGGTTGACATTTGGAAAAAAAGGGGTTTTTTTTGCCCTAATTGAATTAAATTGTTATTTTGTATAAATAATTGAAATTGGCATTGAAAATGTGAAATTGGATGATTATTGGTATAAATGGTGAGGTTGGATAGGTATTATCTCTTACCTTTGAAATTT